GGTTCTAAAGGACAAGGGAAGGCCCAAAAGGGTATGGATGGAAGTAGGGAGAAGATATATGGTGACTTATGATCCAACTGAGATTATGGCCCTTGATAGTGCAGAATGGTGCGAAACAAGATTCGTGTAGCCGACCCCAAATAGTTTAGATAATGCTCTAATAATGATGATGATGATGATGATGTCATGAACTTTTGGTCTTTGCCTCTTTTGAGTTTAAACTTGAAAGCGTGGATGTCTATATAACATGTATTGTGACTGTGAACTATGAAAGACTTTTGGTCATTAGATGTTATGTTAGGACTATTTGGCAAATCAGGTTTTAATTTTATTTATATAATTTAGTGTATGAGATGGAATAGTTTACTTTATCTTACAGGTTGAAATGTCTAATAGGGATTAGAGACAACATGCTCTTATTCTTTATCAAGCTATCAAGGGACCCAGAAAACTAATATATTAGAGATAATTAATAAAATTAAGCACCTACTGACTACAGTTACATAATTCATACATTTATGTTCTTCTATGAATTATTATATTTTTTATAATTTTTTCAAATTTTAAAATTTATTGCCTATATCGGAGGAGATGTGCCCACATAGGACTGCATTGAGCCACATCAGATCCTTGACCGCATGCATCCTGCATTTTAAAACACTAAAATTCTCAAAAGAAAAAATTTTCTTTAATTCGCATCAATCACCAAGAGACTTTCAAATTCAATGCTCCCAAAATCACATTTAATGTGGGGAATAGTGGGTCCAACATTTGTCACAAATGGTTATGGAATTTTGAACCATCATGTTTTCAAGGGAAAAATTTGTGCTAACCCCCAAAAATGGCATCCATTTCACAATATCCCCTACCAAATTTTAAATATCACGCTGCATTAAGCTTTCTAAAAACCTTTCACCTCACGCCCCGCCATCGATACTTCCTCAAATTTTTAATTTAAACCCTTTCAAATGCCACCCAAAAACCCCCTTTCGACTTCCCGAATCCTCTTTGTCACTTCTCTCCCTGTGCTCCCGGTGACCTTCTCTCTCTCTCTCTCTCTCTCTCTCTCTCTCTCTCTCTCTCTCTCTCTCTCTCTCTCTCTCTCTCTCTCTCTCTCTCTACTCTCTCTCTCTCTACTCTACTCTACGTCGTACGTCGTACGTCGTACGTACCGTACGTTACGTACGTACGTA